ATACCGACGGATATCCATCAGAATATGAATTTATTCATATTTTTAATTTTTAAATTACTAAATTAAAATTTTAAACTTACCGATGGTATCCGTCGGTATTATTAAATTATTATTTTTAATTTACCAACAGATATTCGTCGGTATTGATATTATTAATATTATATTATTTTATAATATACCGACAGATATTCGTCGGTAAGTAAAATTATTTGACCAACTACTGTCAGAAATGTACCGATGGCTTTCCGATGGGGTCTATTGGTAATTACCGACGGATTCTGTCGGTTTATTTTACCGAGGAAGGAATTACCTACCAACCACTTACCGACGGACTTCCGTCGGTACAGCCTTGTTACCGAGGGACGTCCGTCGGTAAACAACTGTTTTTTTAGTAGTGGACTAGGCATAGAGTTTAACAAAGTAAGAATTTATTTAAATCTTGTGATCTTAAACTAAAGATTGTGTAATGTACCAAAATACCCTTGACTCTTGTGGTCTTAAATATGTCGTATTTAAAGTTAGAGTTAAAAAGTTACTAATATAAACAAAGGTATTCTTTTTTAAACAGACAAAAGAGAAAGTAAGACATAAATATTAAATAGAGGGGATATAATTTTTCGCAAAATACCTCGCACCATTATGAATATCCATACACCTTTATGTCTTGTATTTTTTTCTTAGCAACTTTCAATATAAAATTTTGTTTGCACATCTAAAAAACTTTAATTTATTTGTTGAAAGTGCAACGCGATTCCTCACCTGTGTCCTATCTTTAGATATATATTGTTGATAGGGTGACTGCAATTTGGAAAGGATATTAAGATACTCAAATACTATTTATTAAACTGTGCGAACATCTTATTTAAATATATAAGCATAGTGAATTATATATTCTCTGGTGAACTTAATACCTACATGTCTTGCTCCCCTCTAATCTCTATTATTATATTTTTCACTTTCCATAAAAAAATTGTGTTTCTATATATGATGAACATTAACAATTGTTGGGGTTCTCAATATTTGACCGAGACCCATGTGCGAGGATGCCCTTTCTTTTTTTATCCTTAACATTCCTTAGCTTAGGTCCCAAATATGAAATAAATGTTCTCCTGACCGATTATTCTAGCATAGCCCCTTCATTTTGAACAAAAAATTTCAACTGAATAATAATTAGTTTTTCTGGTAAAACGTTTGATCACTTGAATACAAAGTCTGTATCAAAATTAAAATTTTGAAATTTACATAAGATAAGGACAATATTACATAAATCTTGATGTTTCTATATACTCGGGATTAAAAGCTTCTCACGTGGTGTTCGTACCTAAATTAAAACAAACGACAAAAAAAAAAAAAAAAAAAAAAAAAAAAAAAAAAAACAAAAAAAAAAAAAAAAAAAAAAAAAAAAAAAAAAAAAATATGCATGCATTTGCAAGATGGGTACTGATTAATTTTGTAATATTAAAATGTTCAAAACCTCATATGACGTTCAACGAATAGCAGCTATGCACTATTGGATTTGATTTTATTTGCATCAACCACATGCATTTCAATTCTCCAATTCGAGAATAATTAAACATATCTAATTAACTTTGTTCATATGTGTCACGACCCCAGTTTTTCCATTTTAGGATGTCGTGATGGAACCTAATCACTAAGATTAGGTAAGCCTAATATATGCTGATTATTATCAAAATCTAACTATTTAACTGCAATACATTAGATAACGACTGATACAACATAGTTGACCCAACGTCGATTGTAAAATTCCAAAACCGGCAGTACAAGTTATAAGTTTTTCTAAGAGTCACTAGAAATAATAATACATCACTGTCCCGGAATAATAAGAAACAATGAAAATAAAAGACAACAGAAGATGACTTTGAAGCATGCGAACGTCAAGCAGGTATATCTTGAAGTCTCCAGTTGCGCAGACATAAATCTCAAACCAACTCGATCATAAGTACCTGGATCTGTACAAAAATGTGCAGAAGCGTAGTATGATTACACCACAGCGGTACCCAGTAAGTATCAAGCCTAACCTCGGTAGAGTAGTGACGAGGCCAGGTCAAAACACTTACCGGACATGTAAACATGTACAGGATATAACTTAAAGCTAACAATAGAAAGAACGCCAATGTAAGATCAACAGCATAAGGATCACAAATTTACAACCAACACTGAATATAATAGAAGCACAAATAGCAACAAGAAATAGACAGTAATAAAGAAACGGATGACGATTCAATCAATCAAATCATTCCAAATGTACAATTTACAACAAGAATTACCCGAGGTACTACTCCTCATAATCTCAAATCATAAGTCGCAACTTTCAAATCTTACACATATGGCACCTCGTGCCCACATTTGTTCAAATCACTTTCGCACGGCAAAGCCCACGTGCCACCATGTACTGTACCCGTGTCAAATGCTAATTAAAATGTTCAAGAGATTTATTTATAAATGATAAGGCATAATAACAACCTTGAATAAAGTAGGGTATCAAATGAGAAAATAAGTTTAATTTAGAAATCATTTGGGTGAAGAAAATTAACATTTTCCAAGTAAAATGAAGCATCGGATAAGCTACTGAATTAAATATAGAATTTGTTAAATTAAAACATAATAAAAATTCTTTTTAAGTAAAGTAAAAACATCAGGTAGGGTAAGGATATTATGTCGAGAAATCAATTAAATTGAAATATGACGATTATTAAGAATAGTAAAGTACTGAATAAAATGTCGAGTTTTAACTTAAGAGTCACGTAAGGTAAGCATGTTAATAATTCTTTTATTTAAAACTATTATGTTACCAACAACTCAGCAGGGTATGAGATAATAATTTTATGCAGTAAATTCATCTTGAAAATCAATTCACCAAGTAACCACGGAAGCACAGATTGACACCTTGAATTAATACAACAGTTCACGTAGGAGGCATAAGTCACACAAGACATAACAACCACAACAAGTATAACACACACAATCCATTGTAGCGCGCAACCCGATCCCACTGTATTATCATTTTATCAATATCATAATCCTCCATTATTCCACCATAGTATCAATAAACAATATCAAGTATCACATATACAAGTCGTCGTGGCGCGCAATCCGATCCCACTGTATCGTCATATATTGATATCATAATCCTCCCTTATTTCATCTATTGCGGCGTGTAACCCGATCCCACCGTATTATAATATATCAATATCATAATCTTCCGTTATTTCATCCGTTGCGGCGTGTAACCCGATCCTACCGTATTTCAATATCACAAGCTCCCTTATTTCACCCGTTGCAGCGTGCAACCCAATCCACAAGCAATTTAAATTAACAAACAATAATCCAATAACTCAATTTACAAGAATTTCTACAATCAAAGGGTAAGAGTACACGGTAATAACGGAACCACGTGATAATCGGAGGAATGCAACAATTATTACAGGACAACAGGACAAGTGAAGCACGTGACAACTAAGGTGTGCAAGTACAACAATTAAGGCAGGTAGCAAATAAGCACGGAGCCATGGAAGGGACTCAACAGTTAAGAGGAAGGAAGGCAATAACTTCAGCTAAAGCATATAAGGGCAAGACAACAAGTAAGAGGTAGAATAAGTACTACAAGTCAAATAGAGCATGTAAGAGTAGATTAACAATGAGGGATATAACATGTCATGACAATTCAATTAAAGGCATGGAAAGAGTTTAGATAACTTAAACCGGTCAAATACCACATATAGCCCATGTACCCACTTGTCACCTTGCATACACGGCTTTTACATAACACAAATAGCACAATCGACTCGAATCGTAAGGGGTAATTTTCTCCCCTCCCCATAAAGTTAGACAAGACACTTACCTCGAAGAAGCTAAACCGATACTAAAGTGTTGAAAACCTCATATGTCATTCAATGAATAGCAGCTATGCACTATTGGATTTGATTTTATATGCATCAACCACATGCATTTCAATTCATATGCGGTGCTAATTGTTGATTAGGGGTACTTATGGTTCTTGTCTCAAGATTGGCCTACGCATAGATAAGATTTATCCAACACACTTTTGTCTTTTCTCGAAATTAAACCTAGATTAGATTAAAAAATGAATTAGATTACTTCTAAATCGTGATCATCCTTATTACATTGTTAATGTTGAATTCGGGCGGTGAAGAAATGACGAACTTATTTGGTATATTCTGTTTCAATTCGAATTCCGGTTATTTCGATGTACAATATTTTAATAGGAAAAAGAAAAAAATGATCTTTATCAAGTAAGAACAGCACTGTTTGCATCAATTTATATATATGTAAGGTGTAACTTATACCCATCGGTTAAACAGTTTTCATATTAAAACCATTGATAAAGCCAAAAGATATATCAATTAATTCGCTTTAATTATAGAAGTACTTACGTCGGCCTAACTTTAATTGATTCAATCTTTAAATAACGGAATTCAGTAGAACATGATTACAAGAATCAAGGAGAAAATGAGTTAGAGCTCATACCAGAAAATAATTTAAATGGAAAGTGAGGGAGGAAAAAAAATCTTCGACCATTTGCTTAATTGAGTTCACAGCTGTGACGGTCTCAGTTGATGTGCAATTTCTAATTTGATAATTTTGGACCAATATGCATATAGATATCCAGCTATTTGTGGGGAAATTTTATAGTTCTTTTTTTGGGGGTGGTCTTTAACCAAAATATTTGTCCTTCCAACTAGAGCCAAAAAACCCCCCATGCAAGCCACCAAAAAAAAAAGCAGAAATATGACACCTTCAGAGGTGGACACTCGTTAAACTTGAAATTATGCCCATGGGCCAAGTGAGAATAAAAATTCGAGACCATCCACTTTGAGGGTTAGTTGTGTACTTCACGCCCTCCCAAGCCCCAAAACTGTTCTTGTCAAACCAGAAAAGGAACAAAAAAACATATTTTTGCCACGCCAAAAAATCCAGAAACCTTCGAAAGAGTATACAGAGCAGCACACCGAACCAACTTCAAATTCCAAGTGTACACACAAAATTTGGACATTAATCAATCAACCAATCATCCCTCATCAATTAATTGAGAGCAAGAATATGAATGCAACAGCTATTAGCAGCATAAATTTAATCAGAAGATTACATTGATATAGATAGTGCAAATTAACATATTATCTCCTATATAATCTTTGCCATCAAGGGCAGTAACAACAACAAAGACCAGTATAATTGTGGCCATCTGCAACCATATTTACCAGTCCGTTCTTCACAAACCACAGAATATATCACCTTGCATCCAAGCTGTTAACCAATTCTCCGTAGTTTTTGGCATTCACCTTCTGAGGTCAAATTCAATGCATGTAAACTAGCCTGAGAATTTCGCGTAAATGAGAATATTTGGTTGCATGAGAATTGAAGTGCTACAAAAACTTCCTATGTATGTGAATGTAGCTAAGTACAAGTATAATTAAAGAGGGAGGAGGTGCATTATAAGTCAGATCAAAACATCAAATTTAATTGGAGAACTATGGATGGATATTGATTCGAGATCAGGGGAACGAGTGAAAAGATCAACAAATACAGAGAATTAAAGAGCACAATAACTGAGACATGGAAACAAAAACAAAAGAAAAGGAAATGACTACCTTATCAAAAAATTGTCTTGATGTATGCATACAATTAGCACATTCAGCTAGCTCTGTTTTTAGATCTTCTCGATTTCTTGATATGATTTTCGGATTTCAATTTTTCCGAGTAGGGCACTAAGTTATCAGTCTCAAGCACTTCAACAGGCCTTTTGTTGCTTATGCTCTTTTCAGTAACACTGAAGTATCAGAACAATGTATGAGGCACAGTGATAGAATAAATAACTGAATAAAATTATACAGCTTGCAAACCTGTCAGCTTGAGACTCTTCTGCCTTCCTCTCCAACCACTGAACACTTCCCGTGTTAGTTGGAATTAATGATCCACATACATGCAGCATCTCTTCATCAAAACTACAATAAAAAATCACGATATGAGGTTAAAGTTATCCAGGAAAATAAAAATAAAGGGTAAAGCTGAAAGAAGAAGCAAAAAAGTAAAGAAATGCATTAGCAGAACCATTCTAAGGATTATTATCTAACCACAATAGCAATTCCGGAACCAGAACATGCAAATTCAGTAATCAGTAAATCATTTGTGAGGACAACCAACAAGTTAGGGCCACTATAGCTCATTGAAAGTATACAAGAATGATAACCCTCAGGGGTTGGCCTGGTGGCAATTGACTTGAGCCTTGGGGTTTGCTCCCTTTCAAGGTCTCAAGTTCGAAACCCACTGGGTGCAAACAATTTCTGAGGGCCATCGGACTGGGTAAAACCTGAATTAACCGCGGTGCACTTGCGGGAAACTCCTTGCCGAGGGCCTGTGCACCCCCGGGAATAGTCGGGGCTCGAAGAGACTCGGACACCCGGTGCAAATCAAAAAAAAGTATACAAGAATGATTTTGAACACAGACAAACCAAGTTCTCTTGGTCGTGAAAGAAGATCCAGCCATGCTAGTAAAAACTAAAACTCACAAGTGACTTCAACAGTTCACCATGCATCTAAGATAATTAGCTGAAGCAATAGAAAAGAAATTTAAAAAGAAAAAGAGAAGGAACATCGATCTGCTGACATTAACATCACTTCCAATGGGGAATCACTTCTATTAAAAGCCATTTCATTAAGTAATTAAACAAACACAGGGGAAGGTGTTTTCCAGGCATAGAATAAACATCATCGATGAGCATAAATTCTAACCCCAAACATGAACTACACAGCAGCAAACTCACATTTCATCGTTGTCACATTTCATGCATATGCTGCTCTTTGTTTTACATCATGAATCAGGCCTAGATGTACATAATAATTCTTAACTATCTCTCTCCCTACCTCTAACTCTTGTTGTTTTCTTTTAAGATCAAATTAATTTCCCCTTTACAGAACCTCTATGAAGAGGAAAAAGATAAAAAGTTGTTCAAACCATGAGAATTTTTTAAAGACAACCAAACTTTTTAAAACAAAATGTTAAAAACAACCAAGCAGATAAGCTTACCTACCTTAAACAAAACAAAAGTCACCTCCAAGCTATTTCAACCAGAGACTTACATCTCAAATAAAAGAAAAATTATGTCTGCACCTTGCAAGTAATGGATTTTCTTCCTAAAAATGAACATACGAGGCTTGTCATTAAGCTAGACTACCAATCTTCCCAGAGATCGTGTAGCGTAAATTCTATGAGTATTTGAATATCACTTTGGCTCAGTTCTGATCACATAACGTAAATTCTATTTACTCATATAATTCACATTTTCATTCGACCATTAATTCGTATAAGCAGCAAAAAAAAAACTATACTTTGACCAATGTCCCATACAAGAGAATGAATTTACATTACTGCTTCACTTTTAGAAATCTATAAGTACCAAATCAACCTAGCACAAATATGAGGCAAAAGTCAAACTGTTACAGTTTTTAAATAAAACTGACTCCAAATTGGAGAACGAAATATGTTTCCTTTTTTCTTTTTGTTTATAAGCATATTGGAGATGGAGTTATCTTATCCTTTGGGTAGATTTAGTCTTATGTACTTTTAAAAAGGAGCTAATGACATCTCACTGGTAATATGATACCCAAAAAGTAATTTACATTACTGCTTCACTTTTAGAAATCTATAAGTACCAAACCAACCTAGCACAAATATGAGGCAAAAGTCAAACTGTTACAGTTTTTAAATAAAACTGACTCCAAATTGGAGAACGAAATATGTTTCCTTTTTTCTTTTTGTTTATAAGCATATTGGAGATGGAGTTATCTTATCCTTTGGGTAGATTTAGTCTTATGTACTTTTAAAAAGGAGCTAATGACATCTCACTGGTAATATGATACCCAAAAAGTAATTTACATTACTGCTTCACTTTTAGAAATCTATAAGTACCAAACCAACCTAGCACAAATATGAGGCAAAAGTCAAACTGTTACAGTTTTTAAATAAAACTGACTCCAAATTGGAGAACGAAATATGTTTCCTTTTTTCTTTTTGTTTATAAGCATATTGGAGATGGAGTTATCTTATCCTTTGGGTAGATTTAGTCTTGTGTACTTTAAAAAAGGAGCTAATGACATCTCACTGGTAATATGATACCCAAAAAGTAATAGGAAGATAAGAGAATAGAAGTTTCTCCAAAAGTGGACATATTTTTAGGACAACAGAGATCAGAGGGATAGTTAACTTGGTACATAGAAATTAAATGACTTCTTTTTTTCTTTTGATAGACGAGAAAGCAATTAGCGTACATGAAACAATAAAAGAAGCAATTCATATATTAGATACATTATTCATATAATGGAATGGTAAAGAACCGGAATCATTAACACACTTGACATGAGAAGCAAGAAATGGAACAAGCTTGTATCAGCCTTCTATCCTACAAAACATCTGTTTATCTTGTCTCTTGAAGGGTGACTAATTGGAATAGACTTATTCTCATGGAGAGCTACCGAATTAAATCATCTGAACTATTTACATGATATTATAGCTTTCACACCATCCTAAATGGACAATTTAAAAAGTTGTGCCGTTGGATCATCCTTCATCATACTGAGACCAGATGTAACCGCTATTTGTTGCTAGAGTGTCTAGAAGTCCTCTGCGTCCAGGATGAGCTTGAAACATAGTTTAATCACAGAACAGATAGAGAAGAAAGGGGGAAAATGTGACTCTTCCTATTTTATTCTATACTATCATTGTTAGGCATCACTTCCAAATTTAGAGTAATGGAAAGTTCTAAATTAAGGTTGAAAGTTAACTTCAAGTGGGTACATGCAGGACAAGAGTTTCAGTGCTGGAAAAAAAAACAAAGAACATCTTACCTCTTGACTGAGAAGAGTAGAGTAGTTCCCACTTTGATCCTATGTTTCTTGTCAGATCTGCTGATATAAACTTCTTTCCCATGTTTCTACAAAAAGAGAAACAAATCCAAAGACAAATCAGGTATCAAATCTAGATCTCAGCTCAAGTTCTCAGTTCTCATCAGTTCAAAGTGCTTACAATTTTATACTTAAAATCTTCTCGAATGTCTTCATCTGCTATGAAGGCAGAAGCAAAACCAAGAACAATTATGTGAATAGACTGCTGGCCAACTTTGACGACCTCACCTTCTGAAAAGATAAAAATAAAAGAAAGATTAAAGAAACAATGTTAGCCCAAAAGAAGTTACAATCTTACATCTATCACATTCCACTTTTAAATATTTATTTATCTATCTCCGGGTGGGAGTTGAGTTTTGAGTTTCTGAAATCAAGGGAGAACAATGAAGGTGGTGAAATTATGACACAATTTCTTTGAACTTCACCCTCCAGAAAAAAGCCTGGAAAATAACTGAACTAAAGTTTGCCAAAAAAATCATATACTGTGTTTGATCCACAAACACACATGAGAAGTTGCAGGAGTACCTAATAGCATTTCTGGCTTGGGATAAAAAAGTAGCAATTTTGCTTCAAATCTCACACCAAAATAAGGGTGAATTCCTGGCAGAATTTTAGCCAAATTGCTACTAAACTTTGGTTCATAAGTCAATACCACACCATCTAAAGCTTCATTGAACCTGTAAAAAATAAAAGGGAACCTGATGAACAAAAGTACCCAACAAAACAAGTGGAGTGGAAGTCCAATTACACTTAGACATCGAAATCCTTAGTGATAAAAGGAGAGCAGAGACAAGAAAGAGAAGATAGAATAATTAACGCATTAAAAGTTGGAGCTCTTAAATAACAGGATTGACAGCCCAACATAAAACAGGCAGGAAAAGGAAGGCTATCAGCTACCTCCTGAAATAAACTCAACACTACGTCCAATTGACTGAACAAGCTAAAACAAATGGGCTACACAATCCATTTACAGTCAATCATTCAATTAATCAATTAGGCATCAACCCCAAACTAATTGCAGAGATGTAATGGAACCTCTTTCCCATTTAACAAGATATAGCGCATGTCTAGTTGAGCACATCCTAACGAAGACAATGTTTAGAGGATTTATCATGTTATGACTACTTTTATGTTGTCAGTCAACCTACCACAACACTCTTCTATACGAAGCTCATATAGACAGAGCTCAACAGAAGCCCTATTCAAACAAGAAAATTGAGCATCAATTAAACGTATTTATAAAACCTCTATTCAAAAATACGTTGTTAGCTAATTAACTTTACACCAACAATGAGCACAGCCAACAATTTCTGATACCAAGAAAGTGATTTTTTTTAAGGTTCATCATATGAAACCTTAAATTCTCTACGACCAAAAATAGAAAATAGAAGTGAGAAGGATAATGGAAGATTACTTGAAAAGAAGAGAGCTGAGTTCACGATAAACAGCGTCCATGACATTTTTGGCCTTCTGTGGATGTAAATACACAACCAAATTCGCTCTACACTCTTTCAATGCCTCCATTTTATTGATTCAACAGATACTTTGATGCCAATTTTGTGAATGACAGGAGTGTAGAAATTGGGAGCAATAGGGTTTTTACATAAGCCTTGGAATCCTAGCAAAGTGTATACAAGTTTGTAATATTAAAAATTTTATCCTTGAGGTTTGATAAATAGCACTTAGACCTCTTTATTAGTGTTTGAAAAGAGTTCGACCTTTTCATAAAAAAATTAAAAAAAAACACTGTAACAGTTAAAACTTTTTTTCTTGGTATTTGGTTAAAAATATTATTTGCAAATAGTTGAAAAAGAAAATGGCTGAAACTTCTTTAAATTTGAGTCACCTAATAATTATTAAGGCATGCTAGAATATACTTGACTAGCGGACTCTTAATATCGAGAGTTAAGAACTCAAATTCCTTCAATTGCAATAGAGGTGTCAAATGAGTGGGTTGAACTGAATACGAGTAAATAGGCATATTCAGTAAATGAATTCGTAAAACTACCCAAAATTTACTTAGTCTAAGATGGAATTAGGGCAAAACATGTTTTTATGAATACGATTCAAGTTTGAAGCAAAAACAAAACATAGACAAGAATAATGCGTATTTAAGATTCAAGCAAAAACAAAAAATAGACAATAATAACTTCTTATCTTGCAATATAAATATACAATATTATATTTCTAACTAGAAATAACTAGTAAAACTTTTCGGATTTAGAATATTGACTTTTAATATTCACAAATCTTAAGAAACAAAACTGAGCTAGGAATCAACCAATGTAAATTAATGCGGAAATAATGTTTGAATATATAAACTGCATAAAAGCATGAAATGACATTGGTTTACATATCAGCGGATGCAAGAAATGATTTTAAGTAGTTGGATTTTTGAGCCTAAAGAATTTTATTTGATGATAAAAACAAATTCTGACCACTTAGGTCAACTGTCATTATATTCATTCTATCCTCCCTCTTGAAGTGTGATATTATCTGCTTTAAGTTAAGTTCGTGTCATTTTCATGTGAAACTTTTGTTTAATAATTCTTTTTAATAATAAATATCTGCAAATCCCGCACCTTAAATATCAGCTACCTCCTGAAATAAACTCAATACTCCGTCCAATTGACTGAAAAAGCTGAACAAATAAATGGGCTACACAATCCATTTACAATCAATCATTCAATTAATCAACTACATATCAATCCCAAACTAGTCGTGGAGATGTAACGGAACCTCTTTCGCATTTAACAATACACCCCGATGACCATATAGTGCATGCCTAGGTGAGCATATCCTGACGAAGCCAATATTTAGAGGATTCATCATATTATGACTTTTTCTTTTTTGTTGTCTTAACCTACCACAACTCTCCCTTATGCGAGCTCAGAACTGGTATCAAAGCTCACATAGTTAGGAATGGTGGTACCATGAGCTTCAAAAGTTACATTGATATTTGAAGATGCTGAGTCAGTTTCTTCAACCAATATAAAGGTACTACTCCTAAAGCCCAATGTACCACCATTTTTAACACACATATGCAGAATTCTACACAAGCCCTCCTTTTTTTTTAATCGTCAGTTCTTCACGAGCCATCTTCAAACAAGAAGATTGAGCATCACCCTAAAGTATATTATAAACCAATGCATCATTAGCTATTTAACTTAACACCAACAATGCAGCATACCCAATTTTCCGATACAATTCATTTAGATTCACTGAAAAGCACAAAATCCAAAATCTGTAACTTCAAAGGATAAAGAAAGATTACTTGAAAAGAAGAGAGCTGAGTTCACGATAAACAGCATCCTTGACCCTTTTAGCCTTCTGTGGGTGTAAATATACAACCAAATTCGCTCTACACTCTTTCAATGCCTCCATTTTATTGATTCAACAGATACTTTGATGTCAATTTTGCGAGTAACGAATGGGGGTATTAAAAACGAATTTTGGGGTTTTTACATAAACCCTAGAAACCTAGCAAATTGTATGTATAGATAAAAGTTGTAATATTATAACTTTTATCCTTGAGGTTTGAAAATTAGCACTTAGACCTCTTTAGCGTTTGAAAAGAAGTCCCGACCTTTTCATAATTACAAAAAATCCCTCTTTAACAGTTTCATAACTGGAAAACGTTTTTCCTTGGTATTTTGATTTTAAAATAAAATTTGCAGCAGATGGAAAAGGTTTTGGTAAAGACTCCTTTTCAAATTTTGAATCAAACGTAACTTAAAAATTATTAATGTTTAAGCAATAAAGGCACCGTGATCAAGATATGGCTTAAGATTTAGCATCTTGTTTTAGAAAAAAGTTTAGGGTAAATTTCACAAATTGTCATATAACTATGACTCTTTTTTAACGAAAATCATATAACTTTATTTTCTCCCACAATAATCATCAAACTTTCACTAACTTACACAAAAATCTCAGTGGAAAACACAATTTTCCATAGTACTTTTTCTTATTCCGGGTTTTTTAATTTATTTTCAGTCTAATAAATAATAACTCAATTAAAATAAAATAAAAATATTTTTCGCCGCTCTAAAAAATAATAGCCGATAAAGAATATAGTTTTGTATATATTTATATAATGTACATATTCTATATATTTTTTGGCTAGCGAATAACAATTAGTTTTGACCGAATAGTTAATTTTATATTTTTCCCTTAAAATAGGAATGACTCAACTCAACGTGACTCAATTCCTATTTACATAAATTAAAATAATAATAAACTTGAAACCTTCTCTCACAAAAAATTTAGCGTGGAATACATGAGATTCTAACACACAAAAAAAGGAAGAAATAAAATAATTATAGAGCACTTAGAAAAATGCCATCAATTTGAATGAATATCTTGAAAAGAAAAAGAAAATATAGAAGTATCGTGTTTTGAAGGATTCACTTTTTATATTATTTTAAGTTTTATATACGGCTATTGTGTCGGGTAAGTTAGATCGAGTTGGGTCACTCCTATTTTAGTTGGATTATATTATTTATTAAACTGAAAATAAAAAAATAAAAAAAGTTATGGAATAAGAAAATACTATTGAAAAGTTATATTTTCTGGTCACTATGATTTTGTGTGAGTTAGTAAAAGTTTTATAACTTTTGTATAAGAAAACATAATTATATGACTTTAGTAGGAAAAAAATCATACTTATATGACCATTTGTAAGATCTGCCCTTTGAATTTACTATCGTACTAATTTATTTGAACATGATCAAACTTTAAAAAATAAAAGGCAGACAACCTTCCTTTTTTTGAGTTATTATGAAGGGCATGATACTTACAATGTAGATATATCTTTAACATTCCTGGAGGAGTCTTCAGAAATGCAAGCGGAAACTGGGTGCTGGGCTTCATGGGAAGCATGCAACATACTACCAACACACATGCAGAGCTCTTGGCAGTGCTAAGAGGATTGCAAATTGCTGAAGAAAGGCAGTTAACGCCTCTAGAAATTAACACAGACTCCACGGAGGTAATAAGAATGCTTGACAATGAAAATCTTGTTTTTGACTCACTTATCTTTGAATGCAGGTCAATCATCCAAAGGCTAGGAGACGTAGTGGTGAAACACATCTACAGGTAGACGAACAAAGTTGCTGACATACTAGCAAAAGAGGGAGCCAAGAAGGATTTTTTTGATAATCTTTTTGTAACAACAATTCCTCCGGTGTTTGTTATGTCGAGGAAGAAGCAAACCCGAAAATAAAGAAGATAAAGAACACCAAATTTTAACGTGGAAAACCCTTCAAATCGAAGGTAAAAATCACGGGATCACAAAGATCCAAAAAGCTCCACTATAATAATAAGAGGGTTACAAAAGTTCTCTAAATTGGCTACACAACAAATGCCAAACACGGAACAACAATAGCAACAAGAGCAACAACTAATCAATTGAAGAAAGAGTATAATCCACAAAAACGAAGCTGTTTTTCGAGGCTCTAAATCAGATTCTAAGAGCTTCCAAATCCGATCTCACCATTCAAATCCAAGACCAAGATGTTACGAACACTCAGTCAAAATTTCAGCCCGATCTAACGGTTAACGAATTAGAAAACGTGATTTGAACTTGGCCGGTCGGAATAAAAATTTGCAGCAAAACAAATACTTTTCTTCTCTCTTCTCTCTTGATGAAAGCTCTCTCAAAAACCACTTTTATGTGCTTAAGTCTTTCAAAGACTTGTATCAATGATCATAGAATAATTCTCCAAGGTTGTCCTATTTATAGATCATGAGTGGTGCTTTCTCTTAAAGCCAAAACCCGCTCAAAATAGGAATAAACTGAATCCAATTCCAAATAGGAATTGAAACCAAAAGAGAATAGGATTAGGCCATTGGGTCTTTGGCTGGACAACATGGGCATGTGCCCAACAAACTCCCCCTCCAACCAAGGGGCCAAATGTGTCTTCAAGTAGAGGAACTATTGACAGGCTTCATGCCTGCCAATTTTCTACAAAATTCATGTTTATCTGCAATCAACGCCTTTGTCAGCATATCCGAAGGATTTTCATCAGTGTGTATCTTCTCAACCTCAAATAATTTCTCTTATACGGCCATTCTTATCCAATGATACTTTCTATTTATATGTTTGGTTTTAGAATGAAAAGTGGAGTGCTTGGTGAGACAGATAGCACTCTGATTATCATAAAATAAGATGTACCTTGGCTGCTCAAAGCCAAGATCATTAATAAACTCCTTCATCCATAATAGTTCTTTGGCACCTTCTGTGACAACAATATATTCGGCTTCTGTGGTGGATAGAGCTATGCACTTCTGTAGTCTAGATTGCCAAGAAACAGCTCCCCCTACAAAAGTGATCAAATAACCGAAAGTGGATCTTGAATTATCAAGATTGCCTCCTAAATCAGAGTCTGTGTAACAAACAAGTTCAGGCTTGCCATTACCAAAGCACAACTTCAAATCTGCAGTACCTTTCAAATACCTTAATATCCATTTTACCGCATCCCAATGTTCTTTTCCAGGATTAGAAAGGAATCTACTAACAATACCAACGGCATGTGCAATATCTTGTCTAGGGCAAATCATAGCATACATCAAGCTACCAACGGCAGAAGAGTAAGGAATACGAGACATCTCCTTTTTCTCTTCATCAGTAGATGGACTCTGACTAATACTCAATTTGAAGTGTTTAGCAAGAGGAGTACTAACCACTTTTGCATCTGACATATTGAACCTCCTGAGTACCTTCTCAATGTATTGCTTTTGGGATAGAAATAACTCCTTTCTATCTCTGAGTCGGTGGATTTGAATGCCCAAGATTTTCTTTGCTGGCCCTAAGTCCTTCATCTCAAACGATTTACTCAACTGCTTCTGAAGGACTGCAATTATGGATTTATTCTTGCCAACAATAATCATGTCGTCCACATAAAGCAATAAAATAATAAAATCAAATCATCATCAGAGAACTTCTGGAAGAATACACAGTGGTCTGAAGAAGTTTTCTTGTACCCTTGTTCTTCTATGATAGATTCAAACTTCAAATACCATTGCCTTGGAGCTTGTTTCAATCCATACAGGCTCTTTTTCAATTTGCAAACATAATTTTCTTTTCCCTTAGTTACAAAGCCCTCAGGTTGCTCCATATAAATCTCCTCATCTAAATCACCATGGAGAAAAGCAGTTTTGACATCCATCTGCGCAACCTCTAAATCTAGACTTGCAGCTAAGCCTAGAACTACCCGAATAGAAGACATCTTCACAACAGGGGAGAAAATTTCATCAAAGTCAACTCCCTTCTTCTGGCCAAAACCTTTAACAACTAACCTCGCCTTGTATCCAGGCGCAGAGGTATGGTTATCTTGCTTTATTCTGAATATCCATTTATTAGATAAAGCTCTCTTACCTTTCGGCAATTTCACTAACTCGTATGTGCTATTCTCATGGAGTGACTTCATCTCATCTTCCATCGTTTCGATCCACTGATCTTTGTGAGTATCTTTCATGGCTTCATCATAATTCTCAAGTTCTCCCATGTCAGTCAAAAATACATACTCTTCAGGAGGATAGTGCATGGATTTTTGCTTCTCCCTTGTAGATCTTCTAAGAGAGGTTTCAGGAGCATTCGAAGTAG